TCTGACGCGTCTGCCTCCGCGACCCGAAAGGAGAAGCGGCGATGGAAGATGAAGATGAAGATGAAGGTTACCGTCACAGTGTTCTCCAAAATAATCTTTTTCAACTACGTTACAATTTCCACCTCTCATCTCAAAGTAACAGAAACCATACTTTTACGCTTTAAAATGTAGCTTTTTTAACCCTTCTGTCGTTTTCTGTGTAAAACCGGATTCAATGTCGTTTGCAGGAAAGGTATCACCCTGCGTGGCGAACACTTTACAACAGACGACCCGGTTGAACTCTGGGCTGTTTCCCAAATGGATTGCAAAAGCTGGCGAAAACAATGATATGACAAAAAACGTGTTGAAATTCATCTAAAGGGACATATGGCAGCTATCTAGCATCGACATAAAAAACATTCAGCATCCCATCGTAGCAACCCGCTAAGAGGCTCTCCTGCGATGAATTTTCATCTTGTAAGCCGCTTGGAGATACGTTTGCATGTGAGCATAAGGCGCACTGTTGCCAATCGTAAAAATTTAACCTACATTCCAAATTATTTTACAAATACTGTATAACAACAGTTGTAGCATAGACGACGGATAGACTTCATCACTCTCGTTCTTCGAACGCTACAGCCAACCGCATTAACCATCAGTATTTTCCCACCTGGAGCTGTCATGACCAGTCTATGGGAACATAACGTCTAGCAGGACCTGCTACACTACAGACAACATACAGCGCATTGACCAAAAAGTATTAAAATCTTAGAACGCGATTCTGCACTAAGAGAGCATTTGCTGAACCCATGTAAACGGTTAGTTAAGCTTTAAAGATCGCTCAGTTAGTTTGAGTCTTATCCTCAGTAACTTAGTTTCTACCGTTTAATCTCCTTCCATTTTTCTTCTGCTTGTCTTTCTTATATCACCCTTTTCATTTTTCAAGTCTATCAGTTTCATTCACATACCATCTTTGATTATGTTGTATTTATTCATTATCGTGTTTCAATTATTTACCTACTGATCTTTGCTATCCATGATTACGGTATCATTTCTGTTGCTAATTTGTGCTCAGGAGAAAGAAGAAATTTTGTCACCATTGGGATACAGGTCTCATTCACCTTCAGGATTCACTATTCACCATTTGGGCGACCCATTTCATGAAACGGATGGTGCGGCGCTGATATCTGCGTCTGCGATATCAATCATCAGTGTCTTATTTTAAAAGCAGTGTCTACAATCAGAAGGACGCGTAGTTTCTTGTTTTCTTCTATCAGAGTGATTCCGACCAAGGCTTGAACTCTGAACCTCGACCGGAATCGAACCCAACATTTCTGGAGTTTGACACTATACCAGCACGCCATCCTGATAAAAACACTTGTGAGTTCAAAGTTTCACATAATACGTGGTTTTATCAGCTTCTAGCAGCCACATGCTTTACTATGACACGTTATTCTATACTTTTAACTATAAGTTTATTTTTTCGTGGTAACAGCTGTACAAAACGAAAGAGACAAAATACGGATTCAATCAAACGGGATCGAGAATTTCGGTAGAAAGCGATACCCGGATTACATAACGATGCTGCTGCAGGCTGAGCAGATCTGCACCCAGCTCAGAGCCAGCGTC